ATCAGTTTAATTAACTACGTTGTTCCCATTTGAAACCACCCTTGCGTGACAGGAGAGTGTCTCACCCCATAGTGCACTGGCGATCGCCTCTCCCAGCAGGTAACAGACGCCGGGAACAATGAACGTGGTCACGACGTTCATCAGGATCTGTTGGGTCCAGCTGAGGTGGTAGTAGAGCGGATAGATCCATATGCCGCGGGTCCAGTATGTGTACAAATAGCTGCAACAACAGATAGTTGAACCACTGGGGATTTGTCGATTTTGAATTATGTTTAAAGAATGAGGCATATTACTTACTGATAGTTTCGATAACAGAAGAACTTATATTTATATTTATTTAGTGTTCTGTCTGACGACAGGTCCATATGAACAGGATCCTTCCCTCCTTTTCTCGGACTGGGACCTGTTCATATACGTTCTTGGCAGATGATCCAGAAGTGGTTTGCCATTGCCTTCTTCTGTGTGTGAATGGAGTAATTGTTGGGATGCCACGGAGAAACCGGGGAAGCCCCAACAGAAGAACTACAAACAATTATGTCCATCATGGTATTCTGGATTATGACGCCGACACAATCCGGAATACCACATCTGAATCGGCAATTTGCAAAACCACAAGTGTCCACAAAACTCATTTTTGAGAAAACTGGAAAGGAAGCTATAAGATAAAGTTATTTTCGGACTCGTCTTGTTTTTATAAGAACCCACAATTCTGCCGGATAGACCTATCCAAGTCACTGTGAGTTTCAATGCTTTCTTTATGGTTCTTTAAGCCAGAACATGACATTGAATTAACATTATTCCGTCATTTGTGTACTTTCGTCAGGAAATAAGACAGAAAATTTTGCGTGCACTCAATAAAAACACAGACTGAAGCATTTGTCTCCTGTGATTGTCATAGCAGCAACAACTCAATTCTTTCAAAAAGTGGACTCATGTGGTTTGGAAATGATCGATTAAATTGACATCTTTTACCACAGTGAGTACGCTGTGTGGCCTTGTAGGTGGATACCAAAGTTTTGGAGATACTTACGTCATCCATTTCAGGGCTCTGAACAGCCCGTAATACCAACATTGACATGTGAGTAACTTGCTTCTTTGACTGACCAGGTTAGGTAGCTGAAGCAGTAGAGAAACAGGAGACCCAGGTGCATGCCTCTGCGGTGGTAATGATGCGGTCTGAGCAACATCTCCAGCACAACCACCACAGCCACATCAGTGTGCATGAAGTGGTTCACGTGAGGGGCCACGTACTCGTCTACGATCGCAGGGTACACCAGGCTTCGGTCGTAGCTGTAGATCGTCCAGAACAGCGAAAACACGACCTGCTAGCACTACATGTGGTAAGTCGATCGCGTCTTCTTTGCGTACTTTATTCTGGCGTTCCTACCACGACATCCCGCCATTCAACTCTGTGTGTTAAGCGAATTTATGAAAGCCAGATGTCTGAATCGAAACAATGAATCAGTTCCAGAATTAAAAATTTAATTTGTGGAATGGATCCCTGACTAGAATCACGCCCGACTGAAGGGACTTAAAAATGAAGGAACAGAAAAGTTTTCACCCAGGTCAGACCGGGAATCGAAAATGAAAAAACCCCGAACAATATATTTCCAAGAAAGTCAGCACAGCAAAGGATAAAACTCGAAAAAAGAGGTAAAATAGACTGCGGCGTACCAGTCCCGTAGGAAACACGAGAGCCTGGAATAGGGACTCTCTCAGCTTCTGCCACCTCCTGAGGAGCGGCAGGTCGTTCCCCGTCACCGCACGCAGGGCGTGCTCCCCCGTGCAGGCCGAGAAGTAAACGCACTGCATTATCTGCAAGTAATCAGTCACAGATTTTGGCTTTTACCCCCCGTGGTACCGCTGACTCTGTAGGATCTGAGGTCTTCACGGCGGCGAGTCTGAAGATGGCTGTTGCGCCGTGTAGTCTGGTAGAAGTTTATCGACGTTTCAGAGATCCTTTCTGCCTCCATCATCAGGGCGATGAATAAATCACTACCGGAAATGTGGTCAACAGGCCTGTAGTTCTGGCCAGTGTTATGTCGTGTCTGCATCTGCCACAAACTTTCCTCGTGCGGCTTATTCGTCGCCCTGATAGAGGAGACATTAAACTCCACGGAAACGTCGGTCAGCATCTGCCAGGCTGCAAGGTGCTGCTGTATTCCTTAAGACAGCCATGATCGAAAGATAAACTAGTCGGGTATGAAAAACAAGATGTCCGTAAAGGACTTTAGTGTGTATTCTTTTGGAACATGGAGACGGAGATGGGAGAATAATATTAAAGTGTAAACGTGTGAAGTATGCTCAACTGATTCTGGTGGATGTTCGTGACGAGTGATTAAAATTAGTTTTCGTAGCAACAGGGCATTTCTTAACACTAAACATAACCTACGCTGCTTAACAGAACACCTGGTTACACATTGGTTGACCTTTTGAAGACTTTTAATATGCGTTATCCAACTGCTAACTGAACTTGAACTTCGTACATGAGAATGTTACGTCGTCGTATTTGGCGCACAAGCCATGCGTTGTCATTTGTTAGCTGATCTCATTTTTCGTTCCAAAGTCAGGCTGTAGTCAATAAGACGAGGAACTCTGGACAGACCGAGAGTAAACGTCATCTTTAAATGTTTTAAGCATCCGGTCATTTGTCCTCTGTGCGTGTATCTGCTAAAGTTATACATCCTTGAATACGAATTATTTAAATTGTTTAATCCGGGATTAAATTAATAATACAGGCTTAGCTGTGGTATAATCCGTCCGACTAGATCCGGAAATCGTGAACTCTGACGCAACATAGCAACAGTTTCCTTCACGTCCTAAAACAAATTACGGGACACAGTCTTATTTAATTCCACTTAATAATGTCTGCACGGATACAAAGTGACACAGAATAAGACAACTTATTCAGAAACCCTGATGAAATAAAACTGTTGGTTCTGAGCTAGAATAAATTTCCTTGAAAAGTATTGGTAACCATGAATTGACTTCTCTGCAAAAGTTTTATCGTGTGGGTAAAAAATCCACTCAAAACTTGGTGCGTTCCAGAACCCAGCGAAATGTAAATTCTACAGCAGTGACTGCAGAATGTAATATAGGAATTGTAATGCGACAAAGACTACACATGAGAACTTAGAAAGCGGAAGGTGTAGGATTCAAATCCCGATGCCTTCCACGTTCAACCCGGTGAGATACTAGGGTCATGTTAAGGTCAGCGAGATAATCCAACAAGTAAATACAGACGCTTAATCTGGTATCACACCTCGACGTAATGCATATCGTGAAATAGCAGACAATGCTACATGTCCACTCCTAATACTTGGGCTGATTTTGGAAACGTCACCATATTCCACGTCGTGGCGTAATACGTAAAATCCGCTTTCCTTTGTCAGATTTCACTTAGTGAGATTATGGGAACGCCCGAGACAGAACACGAGCGAATGTCCCTTACCAGGTTCCACACCGTGAAGTATCGAAACCCCATGTCCCTCATGACAGTGAGGTATCTGTCCGTCGCTCCTGCGTAGTTCACGGTCAGCAGATGCACAGTCGTGTAATGGTGCAGACTCACCAGCAAATGAAAAGCTTCCAGCAACATCTCGAGCAAAATCGGTCAGAAGCTCTGCATTTCTGTCAAAACACACGAAAATGACCGCGTGACAATGTTGCGATAGCCGACCTGAAATAATTAATTTCTAACAGTGTGGGTAATATTTAAAATTCGGTATCGAAATGTATTATTTGCTCTGGGTGCACAGTAATACGGAATTAAATTTCCAGACTCTGAATTGAAACTTTATTTCCAAGATTAAATGTAATTTTAACCAGTCATTTAAAATGTAATTTCTTAGGTACCTTAACCTGCCCTTAGAATACGCAAAATTGACATATAACGCGTAGAACAAGATTTTACCCCTCGTAGAGGAGCAGAGAAACATTTGTTCAACCCACAACAAACAGCCAAAATGTTTTGTTTGTAATATACTGCATAAATCTTGGCACGGTTCTGCTTAATGTATTTTGACGTCTTAATAAGGATGGCAAACTGTTTGCGAATATCATCATGACAACACAACAGTTTCTTGCGAGAGTTTATACCTGTTACAAAATAACCGTCAATATGAAAACATGTGGGGGAACCCCCCCCCCCCCCCCAATGTTATGTAACAACAAGGCCGAAAAACTGCTTCCTTAAGGAGGTCACATAATTGCCTTGAACGGTCTCGTAATTCTGGAATAACGACCAGTATGTGGCAGGGACAGTCTCTCGAGAAAATGAAAGTGCGAATAATTTTGAAGCTCGTATTTGCAGTGGGGCTTTGAGAGACCCAAATGCCCGTTGTGTGAAGGAGAGCGGTGATTCTGATTAATCATGCCAAAGAACAAGAACATTAATTCCATGGCTGACATTAATATAAAACTTTAGTTATTTATTTCAATTCTTTTAACTCCTGCCCCCTCCACATACCTCGACCGCAAGAATTCCGAGTTCCGTGGGACTCTCTGTTGCCATTCGATATTACACGTCCATATAATCAGTGTAGTTGAAAACAGTAATCAAATTCCTCTACAATTAGAATGACCACAAGAAAAGCTGCCTTTATCCTCACTTGATGAATGCAAAACTGTTTTAAAGCGACCTTCTTTTCGTAAAATTTCTAAGTCAAAAATCTGTTGTTATTATAATAAACTAGGGCGTTCATAATTCTTGCAAAAGGCCTTGTAACTTCCAGTATGAGGACGATTTAATCAGGGACAATTTAAGTGAACGGTTCATGTAGAACGCAAAAGTAACATGAGGTACAGGAAAGTTTAGTTGGTTACCTCCAAGGGAAATGAACACTTGGCAGACGGGATAATATTAAAATTGATATTGGGGACTCAGCTGACTCAGGACAGTATCAAACAGTGAACCTTTGTTAAGTATAGTAATAAACTCTCAGTTCCTACAAAAGCAAGAATTTCTTCACAAGCTGCGTTACTATTAATTTTTCAACCAGTACGATAAGCCATTTAAGCTGCGTTACTATTAATTTTTTCAACCAGTACGATAAGCCATTTAGTAGATGTTAAGTATTCATCCCGCACATGCTTCTTAAGTGTCACGCCTGTGTGATCTTGACTTAAAACACTGTCGCAAACTTTGTCTTAATTTACGAATAACGCGAGACACCCAACAAACCTTCACTTTAAGCAACGATTTCATTATGGTAGATACCTGGCTTGAGTTGAGTAGGCAACGCTCAGAGCCGTAAACTCAGCACAACTGAAGGCTGTGCCCGGTTGAGAGCGGGCGGCCTTGATTGCACGCTCCAGTCTGCTACAAAATGACGACATTTGCCTGCAATTATGACGTCCAATCATTCAACTGATAAGTTGCAATCTCACCGTCGTGAAATCCGTTTTTCTGACCAAAACGTCTAACTTCCCATGCTTCAGACACACCTGTTAGATGTTAATTACGTTTTAGAAGAAATTCTTGTTCTGTCAGGACGTGATTTTCCCCATTTTGGATGTACACTCGGGCTGGACTCTCAGGCAAATGAAGTATCCTGAGCTACACAGATTTACGACGCAATTCAAAAGACTAAATTAAACCAACAAGTTGTTGTTAACACTGACTTGATTTCCGCCAAGACGTTTCGTGGTTTTGATGCCATTTGGATACCAAGGTATCGCCTCCAGCTTCACCCTAAAAGATCCTCCGAAATAACTCACTTTTTTAGTACATGGGTTTACAAACCGCTCTCATTTTCATTGAGGTGTGAAAGTCACCTTGTTTCTAACGATATACCATAGGGTGACGTACTTACGCATTGCTTCGTTTGCTGTAGATGTGTGGGAACGATTAAAATATCGGATAATTTTTGCTAATCCTTTCAGCGATGCTTTTAATATAGGCGGGAAAAAGACCCTCTACCCTGGCATTTCTTCGTGGTTTATTTGAAGTCATCCCAGCAGAATACCGCGATGTTATCTTAAAACGGGTCATGGGCAAACCTAACCTCATCTTTTATTACGTCAGTAAACATGAAAAAACACTTCCTCTCTCCGGACCATCGGACTGTGACGGTGACAAGTTACGACGGTCTTGCATTGGTCCACACTACACTTCTATACTTACAAGTGTTGCCACTCTGCTCTCTAACAAATACGCTGTGTCCGTGGGTTTTGGTTTCTGGTGAGATCCGTGTCGAATGTTTTGTGTTAACCAACGCTTCGGCGAACGTATACGAATATATTTTTCAGCAGAATACCGCGATGTTATCTTAAAACGGGTCATGGGCAAACCTAACCTCATCTTTTATTACGTCAGTAAACATGAAAAAACACTTCCTCTCTCCGGACCATCGGACTGTGACGGTGACAAGTTACGACGGTCTTGCATTGGTCCACACTACACTTCTATACTTACAAGTGTTGCCACTCTGCTCTCTAACAAATACGCTGTGTCCGTGGGTTTTGGTTTCTGGTGAGATCCGTGTCGAATGTTTTGTGTTAACCAACGCTTCGGCGAACGTATACGAATATATTTTTAATGAATTGAATATAAACATGAAGTTTTTTTCCTTCGCCGGAATGACTCCTCGAACGCAACCAACTACACACTGAGTTGTGATCTCAGGTGACACTGATCACTCCTAATGACAAAGTTTAGAATTGTAATGAATTTTAAGGATCTGCAAAGAGAGATTTTGTGGTCAGTTGAACTATTCTTGTGTTATAAATCTGTTATACTCTGCATCGCTTAGGGTGCAGATACACAAAAATCTAAATTTAATTGACTTTACTGGGTTTGGGTATTTTATTCATCTGCATCCTTACTTCCTTCCTCTGAAAATTACTGCATGAACAGAAAGGGTTTTAACAAATACCGAAAAATGCACCTGTGAATGGCATTTTATTGAAAGTATGGAAGAAAAGCACTTTCACAATGTATAACAGCTACACAATACCGCGTTCGCTCAAAAACGATATTGTGTCATAATACAAAAACAGGTGTTGCCATCCCATTATTGTAATTTCTGAAGTAATATGCTCAGAACGATGGTAAATAAAGACTTCAGGAATTCATAAACATGTAACTAATGAACAAACACATAACTTCATTTTGTAACATTACACACCATGCCATTCTTGATTACCAATTGTGAATATAGACCACATTCTAGTACGTGAGGTCATAGTAACAGTGGCATAAGGACCCAAATAACAACCAGCCATCTTTATTAAATATTGATACAAACTGTTCACAAACATTCTAATAATAAATCTACTTCTTCTCACGCTTTTCTAGAAAATGAATTACGACAGAATGCCGCTCGTTTTATTCTCAGAACGGATTACTAAGAAAAGATATTCTTGGACTGTTCTCCGCATAGCAGTTTCAAAAAAAGTTCATTTAACAAACAGAACACAAGTTTTTATTTGATACCATCCCGTGCCATTGCAGTGTTAACGTAATTCACAAAATCCTCTATGGGGGAAACTGAAATACTGAAAATAGCATTAGCCGAGTCAGAGAAGGGGGAGTGGTCTTATTTAAATGCAACCACACAAATCAGCACAGTTGCTGGTGTTAATGAAGAGTGATTAAGGAACAGAATGAATTGATTGACGATACACAGAAATGGGAGAATCCTGAAAAACATTGCTGCAGCGCACACTGCACATGAAGGAATGCTGAATGATCCGGCGTACAAACTATGCACGGCCACATCGCACGGCGAGTCTTAAAGGGCGCGATGGCATTTTGCGACTAGCGTCGATACGATAATTAATTTGAAATGTTTTTTGCTGCTGATAAAACAGACCCTGAAACAAGAAAGTGTCACAGTATTCATAATATGTATATGTGTGGAGGAACTTGTGCAAAAACACTCCACAATGAATGGAAGCACATAAATGTGACAGCGGAGTAAATTATACAGCCTGTAACAATGAGCTGCAGCAGAATATTCCATTACATACAGAGCTGGTGCTTTCAAGTAACCTTTAATTAACTTATTACTACTAAATTCTGTATACAAGAATATAAGCAGCACCAAAGAGGATGTTAACTGATTACGGGGGCCATACCACTGGTTACTATGCCTTAAAATAACATGGCAGAAACATACAATACATAACAATAATAAGAGCAATATCCTTCATCTTCAGGCCTATGTTAATACTGGGACACTAACCAGTTCACACATTTCTCCCTCTTTCATTTTCTATGCCAGAGGCACCCACATACTTTGGTCAGAGATGATAAACCTTTATTTCTATGCATAATGCATGAAGTGAGGACATCTGCATGTCTGTGGATTGGGGGGGGGCCTTTCTACTATAATCAAGCAAAACAGGAATCACCAGATGAAATGTTAACATTCAACTTATTGGTTTCAAAGCAAATTTAGTCAGAAAATAATGAGGAAACAACTGACACTTGTTATGCAAAAATAAACCTTTCAGATTTATTTTTGGTACATGAATAACATGCAGCATTGTTTCTGCTGTACTACAGAGGGTTGGCTCTGAGGACTAAAAAGTAACCCCCCCTCCCCGTGCTATGTACTGTATGAACAGAGTGTCAGTATAATTGCAATTAAACAATTGATTAAACATGAGAAGGGAAAATGGTCAGATAGGGTTAAATCAATTTTGGGGTAGTAGTTTTCCATTGACAATGTCATGAAACAAAGTAATTTCCAACATACTCATTTTGAAAACATGTGTGTATATAGAAAATATCTTTTTAGGTTGCTGTTGGAAGTTGAAAATAGATATTACCGTCTCAAAACATTTAAAAATTGTTTTGTATACCACAAGAAGTGTAACACATTAGGAAATATATACATAACATATCAGATTTGCTGGCATGTTCTATTATAACCTCTAGATTTTCAATTTGTTAAAGATAAAAAGAGTAAATCAGATTGGCAAGACAAGCAAGGACCTTCAATATCAAATTTGATCAAACTCAGTCCACTTGTTTGAGAGTTTTAAAATGACAGCACAAGAACCAACTTTGTTTAGCCTACTTCCCTAAAAAGATCTGTAAGACTAAAAAGCTAAAAAGTGAATTTTTCAAGAACGTCATTACCAATGTGCCAGAAAAAAAATAAAACTGGTAGGAAAAAAGTCTGCCAGGACGCAGCTTGTCTTCATATAAAAGTCCTACAGTGGATTAAAGAATTTTGAAAAGAAATTTTACTTTATCTGTACATAACAGACTATACTTTACTGTATTTGTAAAAGCAGACACAAGATATATAGAAATTAAAATTAAGCAGAACATTAAAATACTGCTACAGCATAGTTTCCTGTTCCTTTGGGCCGTTAATGCCAAATATTGGGTGCCTCTGCTCTCAATTTACTAACATGACCAGTTTCTCACCAGGTACAGGTAGTTCTGCTCTCTTGTAAAATTACAGTACATCTCAATGATATATACACATATGTAAATGCAAGCAGAACCTTCAGAGAGACCACAAAACTGAACACTTGGTTCTGGACAAAACAAACCCTACAAAAATAGTTAATGCTTAGTAAACAATAACAGAAAGTACTTAAGTTTAGACCACTTCCTGCATGAGAAGCAGCACCGCAATCAACCACCTTAGCTTGCAGGGTCCTCAATCACTCCAGAAACTGTACACACTCAGACTCTTAATTACTGCCCATTATAATGTCAAAAATGGACACACAATTGTGCTTAACTAGTTCGTTCATTATTATTTGAGGCAAATATATGGTAGAATAAAGTGGCAACACATTTCCTCCATAATTGTAAGAGAAATAAGAACCCTGTAAAGTGAATAACATTCTTGAACCAGATCTGAAGATAGACAAATTCCAAATAAAGTAAAACTGCGCAAAAATTTCACAGCCATTTCACGTAATTCAGATATAGTTCTCCTGAACCTCCCCTCAATCAAGCACAAATAACATTTCACGGGATGAGACAAGTTTTCACTGAAGAGAAAGCTGACACTGTATGCTCTAAGCTACTGAAAAAGTGTCATTAAACAGACTATAAATATATAATGAAGAGAGAGGGTACATCCAAATCGCTGCTTGTGTGTGTGTGTCTAAAGAAATCCAGAAAAAAGATACATTTGGAATGTCAAATCAGTGAAGAAAAGAAAATTGAATGTATGCAGACAGTCACTGTCCTTGGCCTGACTGTTGACCCTGCAACACCGCTTTCTACAATGCATCGTAACAGGCAGACTGGTGCCTGAGGTGGAAGATTGGAGAGGAAGTAGCAGTACAATTATGAACACACATTACCTCCATACATTTGTAAGATTCAAAAAT